TCTCTGAGCAGTGATTGGATATTGTACTTGATAGACAGGCATAACAAAATGCAGGAGTTGAGGGCTTAGAGATATGTAGATATGTTGCCAAATGCCATCTGTAAAGCTAATTCTAGCTCTGCCAGCTTGCCAGGGTTTAGAAAACTAGGATCCAGCCAACTTTCTTTTTCCTTTCAATATTTTATTGTGTATCCATTCTTGGCAGTACAGCTCTTTAAAAATCAAAGAGAAAATATTATTTGTACTTAATTAAGAATGCACTCAAAGACTATTCTTTAAAGCAACCAAACTTTTGCATTTCTAAACCGCTGCTAGGGCTATGAAGTGACTTAAAACAGAAACTGGAACATTCAGACTATGCAGTCTCTGGAGAAATGAGCATGCGTACTTTCATATGGGAATGAAACCCTGCAGCATAGTCTACACTGAATGTATGATGCATTTATCTTTAGTAACCTGAGCAGACTGCAGATCTGAGTTTCATGTGGTCATATTCCACCCAATCCAAATATTTAAGAGCTTTTATCATCTATCTAGACATTTTAACCTCCTTATACAGAAAAAGTGCTTTTTTCTTTTTTAAACAGCAAAAAGTCCTCTAATTCATAATTTAAAAAGCAGCTGCCACAAATTCAGGCCAAATATATTTCAACTGAAATGATCTTTAACATCTTCAGCAGGCTACCAAACTGTTCCATATAGGTGTTATACAAGTATGTAACTATACAACTTGCTGTAAAACTATACAACTACTCACCCAGAAACAAGTTCAGCAACTTATAAACAAATAGAATTTTAAACCAATTCAGTAAATTTTAAGCAATTCAATCATATACACCTGCTGAGAGATCATAGACACCCTAAAAGTCCATCCATGTTCACACTAGTTTAACTGTAAACAAATTTTTTAAAGAGATACACATATATCTACATTCAAAAGAAAGTTTAAAAAAGAAAGCACCTTTTAATGCATGTTCCCAACACAAAAAAAGATAAATATTTGAGATGATGGACATGCTAATTACTCTGATAGGATCACTATATGATATACATATCATATTACTATGTACCCTATAAATATACAGAATTATGTGCCAATTTTTAATCTTTTGAAAAAAGAAAATGATCAGAAATAAAATGTAATAATTAAATAATTTTTAAAAGTACCTAAAGTTGTTTAGCTAGAACAGAAACCACAGGCAATGTTCACAAACTCTCAAACCTTAATGGTAAATACACATTAGATAGTAACTGCTGCTGTTACTTTTGTGAATCAAAAAATTTATTTTTATCCTAGCCAGAAAGGAAAAGTGGGGAAAAAATCAAAAGTACATGACTAGAAAAAGTCAGGCTATTCCAAAATATAAATAGAACAAAAGAAAACACAAATTTCAACAAGACAACATTTAGATCACCTGCAAAAACTAAAACAACAAAGTATGCGCTTATTTCCTTAAGTTAATAGATTTAAATCCCCAACTGTTCAAGGTGGCAATGCACCCAGTTTAAAAACTATTTCTCAGTCTCCTCGATCCAGAGATGACCATGTGACATGATTCTAACCAATGACTGGTTTATAAGCAGCTATCTGCTAGAAGTTTCTGAGAAATTTAATTTCCTGATATAAATGAAGTCTTTCCCCATTGTCCCCTTTTTCCTTTTTGTTTAGAAAGTGAACATGATATCTGGAACTACAATATTCACTTTGTGATAATGAGGGGAAAGCCAAGAAAATAAGAGATTTTTGACCCTAACATTAAACTTGTATCTGCCATTGCCTATCTCTGGACTTCTTATATAGAAAAATAAGCCCCTAACTTAAGCCAGTGTTTAGTCTGGTTTCATTTACTCAAACATCCCTAAATAAAATACACAATATTCAAAAAAAGGAATGAGAGTAGGTAGAGGCATGATGAAACAAAATCAGCCAAGAGTTGGTAACTTGAAGCTGGGTGATGAGTAACAGGAGTTCATTATATTTTTGCATGTATTTAAAATATATCATAATAAGTTATTTAAAATTTGAAAAATCCCAGCTGTGCTATTTACAAGTTGGATGGTCCTGGGCAAGTTTTCTAATTTCGTTTTTTTCAATTGCCAAATGGGAACAATAATACTATCCACAGAGCTCTACCTTCAGACCCAGGCAAGGTAATCTGAAGGTCCCTGCCAGAAATGTCCTCCATCTACCTAATACTCTAATCATCCAGGATTAGTTCAAGTCTCATTTTCACCTACTCAAGCTGATAATGATTCTCTCTGAACTCTTACTTTACAACTCATTACCATAGTTTAAGTGCCTTACTGTCCTCTCAGAGTTCCGTATGTGGATACTAAAGCATTCTAAAACAGTACTGTGACATACTTTTGAATCGCTCCTGAACTGAGGGCAAGTTACTCGCTGTTACTTTTTAAAACCTCTCAGCCAATTAACTTACTATCAATTCAAAAAGTAATACTTTTTAAAAAGTCAAATCGTACTTTTTAAGTGTCCTAAGTTCCTAAGCACATAGGGACAAGAGGTCTCTAAAAGTTCTTCCTTGGGCAGATTTTCCATGAATAAGGCAAAAATAAACTCATTTAAAGGACTTCACAGTTTTTGCATTAAAAAAAATCAATTCACTGGTATTTATTTTCTATTCTACATTAATGTTGCTGCAGTCTACCTAAAAATAGCTCCAATTAAATCTGTTTGGTGGTGGTATGTGCCTGTGGTCCTAGAGAGGACAAGGACCTTAGAGGCTGAGGACGGAGGACTGCTTAGGCCTGGAAAGCAGAGATTGCAGTGAGCTGAAATGATGCCACTGAACTCCAGCCTGGCCGACAGAGTGAGAACTCATTTCAAAAAATAAAAAAATTGGCCGGGCGCGGTGGCTCACGCCTATAATCCCAGCACTTTGGGAGGCTGAGGCGGGTGGATCACGAGGTCAAGAGATTGAGACCATCCTGGTCAACATGGTGAAACTCTGTCTCTACTAAAAAAAAAATACAAAAATTAGCTGGGCATGGTGGCGTGTGCCTGTAGTCTCAGCTACTTGGGAGGCTGAGGCAGGAGAATTGCTTGAACCCAGGAGGCGGAGGTTGTGGTGAGCCGAGATCGCGCCATTGCACTCCAGTCTGGGTAACAAGAGCAAAATTCCATTTCAAAAAAAAAAAATTTTTTTTTTAATTTAAAAAATAAAAATAAATAAAAAATAAAAAAATTTTAAAAACAGCACTAAAAAGTTACTGATGTTACAGCTATCAAGAAGGGCTTTGGTATTCATTGTTGACAATGAAACAACAGTAATGAAAAATGTACTGTTCCTTTTTATACATTTTTCCCACTATATGTATGTAGCTTTTATAAAACAATGGTTTATTTTCTCCCTTGTCACCTCTTCATTATATAATGCAGTATTGTACCTCAGCAGAAAAAATGCACAAACTATGATGAATACGATATAATTCACTTGAAAAAAATACATATATATAGCATAGTATAAATACAGCCCCACATTTAATGTGATAAAACCAATAACTTTTTTTCTTTTTTTGAGACAAAGTCTCATTCTGTTACCCAGACTAGAGTGCAGTAGCATACTGCAACCTCCACCGCCCAGGTTCAAGCAATTCTCATGCCTCAGCCGCCCAAGCAGTTGAAATTACAGATGCACGCCACCATGCCCAGCTAATTTTTGTAATTTTAGTAGAGATGGGGTTTTGCCATGTTGGGGTTGAGGCCAGGTTGGTCTCGAACTCCTGACCTCAAGTGAGCTACCTGCCTGCCTTGGCCTCCCAAAGTGTTGGGATTACAGGCATGAGCGCCTGGCAAAACCAATGCCTCGTTAATCTAAATGACAAAATAATATCCATAACATAGAGAAAAAGAACAAAAGCCCCAGTTTGGACACACATGCATGTGCACACACCCACATGCGTACACACACACACACACACACACACACAGAAATGAACAGACATAAAAAACAAAAAAAACACCAGAAAACACTAACACCATTTATCAAGAACTTATCAATTATAAAAAAGTCAACATTAACATTTTAGACCTCATCACATTAAAAGCCCACAATAAAGGTGAACATCTTAACAGGAGACTTAAAAAATACCAATCAATCATATTTTCTAGCTATAGCATAAAGTTTTAAAGTATTTGAAGTATTTCTTTAAAATCACAAAAACTATTTCAGCATTATATTATGGCTTTCTTTTTTTTTTTTCTAAGAAAGCTGGTTTTTGCTATCAGTGGTCAGGAGAATTTTATATTTAAGTAAGTTAAATGTTCAATAATATCCCCTAAGTAATATTCATAGATTATGCTTTATGAAAACATGCTTACATACCTGCAATACATGAGGTTTATGAGTTGTCAATTAACATCTTAAGATTTCAGATCACAAAGTGTATAAAATGAGGTATTCCTCATTAAGTTACACAGCAGAAAATGGAAGTTTTAAAAGTAATAGGCAGATGGGCTGAAACCTGAAATGAATTTTCTTTCATGCATCATACTTTAAATAAGCCAGTAGTCATTCCAGAAAAATTAACTGTTCTCATTCATGAGGATGACAAAGCAATATAAATTCAGATAATTAAAAATAAAGTAAACACTGACATAAATCTATATATTATCCTGTGTAAGGTACATATGCAATGTATTCAGAGCACAAGATAAATTCCTAACAGAGAGTTTTAAATACAATTAACTAACCTGTCATGTCAGAGTTCCCAATTAAGTCAATTATACCATTTATTTATGGAGTCAACTAGGGTGATTTTTACCATCTTTAGAGTCAGCTATAAATATTAAAATACAAATATTAAAAAATTAAAAATAAATGTTTCTCCAAAAGTTATTTATGGAGACATACAAACATTCATAATGTTATGTATAACAGCCCCCATCCTCTGACTGGACTTGCTACAACCAAATACAGTAGTATTCTTTACAATCAGTTTTAGCAGAGTTTTCATATGTGAAATACATGTTTTCTACCTACCTTGAATGTTTATAAAGTTTACGAGGTCTACTATGCAATTTCCGATCCCAATTCTCTGGATCACTGGAGTTACCGTCATAGGGATGAGGCCGTCCTGCCATCCCACTCCAAGCTTCCTCACTACTGCTCTGAAAGCACACATGTAGCACCCATAACCTACATAAAAGAGCAGTGTTGACCTTTAAATCTATTGCATGAAAAATAAAATAGTCATTCCTGTATGAAGAATTGTACAGACTTGATATTATTGTGACATATTTTTATAGTGATGAATAGATTATAAAATACTAATCATACAAATGCCACAAATCAGATTAAAATAAACACCAGAAGTCTTTTTAGGTACTTTTCATAAATCTGCTACCACTATTTAACAGTAGAATAATGTGCTGTTTATATTTAGTAAATATACTTAAACAACTGCTGCATAAGTGCCTCATGTATCCAAACATCAATATGGTTCCAAAAAGGCAAAACAATTCCACAGAATGATTCCTTTAGACAAAGTTTCACTTGGAACACATTTCTAATTATTAAAAGATGCTTAGGAAAGCATCTAGTAAAACCAAATAACCAATGTTATTATTTCTTTGATGAATTTTTTAAATGAAGTTAAACACTAAATAGAAGTTTAATTTTTACTCAAAAATAAATGTATATAAACATTCTGATGTTATCTTACAGTGTAATTATCATAAAAATGTTTTATCAATACAATTCATATACTTTACGCCTTTTCACATGTGAGGCTTGTAACTGCTATTTCTACTATAGTCAGACGAAATTATAAGAGAACTCACTTAACAATAGCTTACAGAATATCTGAACTAAACACTTTTAAACCACATTCACTATCCGGTTTAACTTTCATAATCACCTTGCAATGAAGGCATTATGACCTCCATATACAGAATAGAAAGCCTCAGAATTTTAGTAACTTTGCCAAAGGTCACAATGCTAGTAAATGGTGGAATTATAAAGAACAATGATAATTCACTATGTGAAATAAAATCTTGATCCTGAAAAATGCTCAGACTAGAGTATTTGCTTGGAAATAGATGATTTGACTTTCAGAAATTGCAGACACCAAAAGACAAACCAAATAAAGTTAAACAATTTAAAGAAAACTATACACTTGGACTAGAACCCAAGTTTCCTGACACCTGCTCCTGCATACCTTCTATGTACTTTTCCAAGCTGGGTTTGATGGTGGGAGGTGAAGTAGAGTTGTACATAAAAGTCAAAAGGAAATTCCAGAACTGGGAAAATACTATACTTTCCTGAGTTTTATGCAATACAATTTCACAAAGAATGCCAAAGATAAACTCATTAAAATTGTGTTCATATCAAAAATCAGTAGAAGATACATTTTCATTTTAGAGAAACCATTTTACTACTGTGTAATTTTTTCTCATAGTACCCTCTTTCTAAAAACAGTTGAAAATTTTATAATAAATGAACATTTCATATAATATATAAATAAGTAGGTAGGATCCAGGAGTGAAATAAAAATAAAAGAAGAGGGGGAAAGGAAGAATTGCTGATTCAAATTCTTCCTTTGAATAAATGGCTGATTCAAATTCCTGAGCAAATGTCACATAGTTTATTTGCCAAATACTCCTGGAAAAGGAAAACTATTTCCTACTTGTTATTTCCTTAAGAATGACTGTATCATAAATCAGGTTATCAGATGACTATAAAAACCATGAATTATTTTGAATATAAAAATGTCAATCTCACCTCAGTTTTAGATTATAAAAATAAAAATGTATTCACTACAAAAAAAACTTTTACAAATTTCAACTTTATATTATGACTAGTTATCTGTACCAAAGAGATGAGGTCAAAAAGAAGAAAATGGAGAGAATGAACAAATCAGAGAAACAAAGGAAAAAGTCAGAAAAAAAGCAGTCACCAAAAGAGATGCAAAAGGTAGAAAGACAGTAGAAAGAAACAATGATGGAAAATAAAGACGGGGCGATTTGGCAGATTCTGTAGAATGAGATTTAGAACACTCTTTCCTTATTCTACATATCCTCAAGTATAAACTATTTCAGGGATTAACCTTTCTTTTCTTTTCTTTCTCTTTCTCTCTCTTCTCCTCCTCTTTTTCTCTCTTTTCCTTCCTGTCTTTCTTTGAACTCTAGGCCTCAAGCGATCTTTAGCCTTTCAAAATGGTGGGATTACAGGCATGAGCCTCTGTGACCAGCCATTTCTTTCAAGACAGGGTCTCAATCTGCCACCCAAGCTGGAGTACAGTGGTGTAATCATAACTCACTGCAGTCTCCAACTCCTGGGCTCAAGTGATCCTCCCATGTCAGCCTCCAGAAAAGCTGGGAATACAGACTAACGTATCTTTGAAAAGCATTTTATGTCTTCCTTATCCTTAATTATCACATACTCTTCTGAACAGGATAGCCACAGATGTCCACTGAAGGAAGAACGATCCTAAACCATGGGTGGCAGTGATCAAAAACAAAGAATTGATAAGCAAGGCAAATTCAGATTCAGATTTTCTAACACCATTACACTGGATGGTAAACAGGTAGCAAGAGGGAAATACCCATACGTTTTCCTAATGAATCCTATTTAAAGTAATTAGCATGTATTTCACAGCAACCCATGAGAAAGTAATGAATGTGCAGATGAAGTTGCTCTAATATCAGCTGAAAAATCATACTCACATTTCATTTGTCAATAAAACTCAGGTATCACCACATGAAAGATTTTTCCCCAGCCCTCACTCTCAATAGTCATAAGGTTACAAGCACACTAAAAGATAAGAGGAATTCAAGTTGAAATGTTTGGAAAAACTAAGCCTATCTTTGCCTACACAAACATAATGTGTTTTATTATGTTTGTGTAAGCAAAGATAGGCTTAGTTTTTACATAAACTTAGTTTTTTTACATAAAACACATTATGTTTGTGTAAAAATACACAAAAATGCTAATGATTTAAAATTTTATCAGTAAGCTAAGTTATAACTGTAAAAGGTTAAAAGGCTACTGGCACACATTATATACTACTTTGCAATAATTGATAATGTCTTCAGTTTTAACCTCTGCTGTGCCATACTCAGTGACATTATATATATTTGTCTGATTTCATTCATTCATTCAAGCACTTATGAGCATTTGCTACAATATGCCAATATGCAAGATGTTGAAGTAAGTTAGACATTATTCCTGTGCTCAAAAACTCATCCTAGTAAGGGGAAAAAAGACTCCTCTCATGTTTCCATAACCTGCATCTCTCTCCCACCTGTAGCACCTCTATTCGAGTTCTACTGTTGCCTTATCTTTCATCCTCATTAAATCTTGGGGCTCATTACAATTCCATCTTCCCTTTTCTTTACTGGCTGGGTCGAGTGAGACAGCAAACAAAACAGAAATGAGGAGCAAACCCTTGAGAATATCAGAATTTATACACTATATAGAATCTATGTTTGCATTATTACTATCTGAATTATTTAATAGGCACCCCAACTTCAACTATCTCATCATCTTGGCCTCTCACATCAATTAATGTCACTTCTATTCACCAAGCTAAAAACTTTGAAGTCATTCTTGAGTTCTTTCTCATTTCCCCATATCAAGTCTACCTTAGAATCTTCTTTTGACTCCTTCTCTCCCTTTCATTCATAAAAATGCTGCCTTTATTTAAGCCATTATCATCTATCAGTAAAAATTCTGGCTGACCTTCTTACCACCATTCAATTCCATACTGGCTCTACTACAATCAGAACCGCCTTCCTAAAAACTGCATGGTTCCTCACTGCCTATATCTAAACTCCTTACTATAAAAAGGTCCTTCAGAATCTGGCACTGGAATCCCCAATTTCTAAAACTAAAGTTTATTGTTATTAGAATCTTGTAATAATCAAAAAATAATTACCACGTGACTCCAAAGTTCCCAGAAAATATCTCACTGTTCATTACTATGTTTAAGCATGATAGAAATAAATTTAAATTCAAAATAATCTAGAAATCATCCGTACAGAGGCTGGAAGCACTGGGCCTGTTGGCTAGGGGCAGGCATTCAGGAAACTGCCAAAAGTTGAGAAAATGATGATGCAATTACTTTCCCTTCTCTGGGACATTCTGACGAAACAGGAGTTGGGGGTAAGGGACAGACAAAATCTTCAAGGCTATAGTAACAAAATAAAGAATTTCTCTTTGGGACACTATTTCCAGATAGTATCAATTAATGGTATTGATACACGGAAGAACAAAACAAAACAAAGACAATGCATAGTGTATGGAGACCACTTACTCTATTTTCACTACTTACTGATGCTTTAGGAAGTTTATATACTTTCTCCTATTTAAACCTTGAAACAACTCTATATTCTTATCCTATTTCATATATGAGGAAATCTTAGAGATTAATATTCAAATCCCAGTCTTAACAAAAAGCCCATGTTCTTTCCAATGTACCATGCTCAGTATATAAAAATTGGTACCTTTCTCAAATCCAACAGAGTGTATAAAGGAAAAAAAAAAAAATCGACACTTTTGCTTATTACCAACAGTGTTTCTTAAATCTCAGCCACCTTCTGGCTTTGTCCATCCTATTAAAATCTTACTCTTAGTCCATTTTCTGTTGCTATAACAGAATATCTAACGCTGGGTAGTTTATAATGAACAGGAATTCTTTTAGCTCATGGTTCTGGAGACCAGAAAGTCCAAAAGCATGTCACCAGCATGAGGCAAGCGTCTTCATGCCGTGTCATCCACAACGGAAGGTAGAAGGGCAAGAGAATTTGGTCAAAAGAAAACACAAAGGGCTGGGCATGCTTTTATAATAATCAGCTCTCTTGAAAACTAACCAACTCCTGAAATTAACTACATTAATCCATTTATAAGGGCTCCACCCTCACAATCCAATCAACATTTATTAGGCCCCTCCCAGCACTTTTACACTGGGGATAAAGTTTCCAACACATGGATTTTTTGGGGACACGGTCAAACCATAGCATACTGTCATTACACAAAATCTTTTCTGTTAATGTAAAATTACTTTTCTCTCTCAAACTTGACAGACAAAATATTTCATGTGCAGCCATTACTAGAAAGACCTGAAAGGTAAAAGAGGGAGAATAGTGAAGTGGATAGAATTACATACTGATCCCAGAACCGGAAGACAAGGGTTGCCT